CCACTCAGGGTTCTCCTCACTGGCCAGGAGGTGGCCACTCCAGGAAGTATCTGTCCAACCTGCTGCAGGACCCCAGCCATACCTATGAACCAGGGCCTTGGGCGGCATTAAGATTGCTTGCGCACGGCTCCGCGTTGTCTAAACAGGAAAGCTTGGAGAAGCTTTGGGACTAAGACCCAACCAGCCCCACACAAGAGCTAACCCACGTCCTCAGCATTCAGAGCCCATGCAGCCCAACAAAATCCCCAGGCAGGAGACGCTGGTGTTATTGATTCCTCTGATCTCCATGGTGATGGCGGCTGCAGGGCATGTTAATTACAGAGCATTAAATGAGCGTTAATCAAAGGCCGCACACAAACGCGTCTTGCCCTGAAGGTCACTGGGAGAGCCAGGGACAAGCCTGGGAAGGAGCCGGCAGACGTGCTTACTTGGGGGTGTCGATGCTCGGCCGCCCAAAGCACGGCCTGCCATGACCTGCGGGGAAGCCTGCCGTCACTCCAGTTCCTTCTGCTGGGGCGTAGCGGTAGGGAACCGGGAAGGCTGCACTGCACCACCGGGTGGCAATCTCCTGTCTTTCAAGACCATCGCGATTGTCTAGTGTGACCCTCCTGTACAAACGCGGGGCGCAAGGTGCTCTCCAAAGCCTTTGAGAGGGACGGGAAAATCAGAGACGGGACTGGCTGGCTGAGATCCCATCAGAGAGAGGAACTGTTGGGGGAAACTGAGGCAGTCCATGGCATTCTGCTAAGAACCCTATTAAAATCCTACCTGCATCCAGAGTGTCCAGAACGATTCCCTACAAACAGAATGGGGTCCTTGCGACAGCGCGCGCCAGGGAAAAGGGGGTGAAGGCCCTCAAAGCGCCTCACCAGGACGCACAGCGCCAGGGGCTCGTGAGGAGCTGGAATTTCATTTGAGCCACCGACGGGTTTTCTTCCATGCTTCCATGGTTGGGTCCCTCCCCTGTGGTGCTCTCGCTTGTGTGGCCCAGACACCTTCCCCGTTCTCCTCCTCAGCCCCAACCGCCGGAGGAACGCTGCCCAGTCGAGGAGATATGCCAACCTCGCTGTTCGAGCCACAATTCCCCCCGCTCCCAAGACCTGTGACTAACCTTTTCCTGATCCCCTGCCACAAGCCCTGGGCACACGGGGTATGACCACTTAGCGAAGTCGCTCGAAGCAGTCGAGAACGGCACCCACCAGCTCTGGCTTTAGAGACACAGGCAGGAGGTTTTCCTTCTGCCCGCTTCGCAGCCACAGCATGGCCACCAGCAACCTGCGTGTTCCCGACTGACCCCCAGCAATACAGCCCCCCCCTCCAGTCTGTTACGTCACCTGCAACGTGCTGCCCGCTGGGGGAACAGGGCGCCGAGGGTTCGGTTTCCTGAACTCTGACTAAGCCACACGTAAGCCAGGAGTGCCATTTAAACAGGGGTGGGCAGCCGGGCCCCTCCCATCTCTGCACTTCGTACCAGGTAAGAGAGTGCGCAGGTGCCTGAGAGCCCCTCGTACCAGCCGAGCCAGGCCTCTCTCAGCGTGCCAGGACACGGGGACTGGGGCCCCTCTGCCCAATCTGCCTCCCTGGCCTGGCCGGGCTAACGCGCAAGCTGAACGGCGGGGCGTGCATGTCGACCGCACTGAAGCCAGTTGCGTGGCAGCCACCTCCCAGAGCCCACCACATCCTGGAGGGACCCATCCCAGACCCCCCACACCCAGCCGTCTCCCAGAGCCCACCACATCCTGGAGGGACCCATCCCAGACCCCCCACACCCAGCCGTCTCCCAGAGCCCACCACATCCTGGAGGGACCCATCCCAGACCCCCCACACCCAGCCGTCTCCCAGAGCCCACCACATCCTGGAGGGACCCATCCCAGACCCCCCACACCCAGCCGTCTCCCAGAGCCCACCACATCCTGGAGGGACCCATCCCAGACCCCCCACACCCAGCCGTCTCCCAGAGCCCACCACATCCTGGAGGGACCCATCCCAGACCCCCCACACCCAGCCGTCTCCCAGAGCCCACCACATCCTGGAGGGACCCATCCCAGACCCCCCACACCCAGCCGTCTCCCAGAGCCCACCACATCCTGGAGGGACCCATCCCAGACCCCCCACACCCAGCCGTCTCCCAGAGCCCACCACATCCTGGAGGGACCCATCCCAGACCCCCCACACCCAGCCGTCTCCCACAGCCCTCCACATCCTGGGGGGACCCATCCCAGAGCCCACCCCACCCAGCCGTCTCCCAGAGCCCTCCACATCCAGGAGAGATGGTTCCCTGGGGTGTCTGCATGCAGAAGGCGTGGTGCCCGGAGGACCTGGGGGGCTGGACGGTTACTGGAGGGGAATGGGGCTGTGCACGTGTAGCAGGATGGTGCCTCAGGGGCTGTTTGGGGAGGGCAAGGGATGGTATTCGGGGAACTTGGAGGCGGCGGGTACTTGTCGAGGGATGGCACCCCGGCGTGTGGGGCGCGTGCATGCATGGGGGTGGTGCCACTGCCCGTGCGGGCCGGCGGAGAGAGGTGTACCAGGGGCTGTGTGCACAGCAAGATGGTGACTCCCCACGTGATGTGCGTACATGAGATTGGTGCGGGGTTCGACTCACTAACTAGCTGTAGCCTGCGTGCCACAAGCATCAGCCCTGGAGGTCCTTTCCAAACCACGCACTCTGTCGCCTGACTGGGGTTTGTTTTCTCCACTCCCAACTGACTTTCCTAAACAAGCTGGCTACGGAAAATAGCTTGGTGCTATTTAACGCTTCAAAGATAAGCCCTTCCCCTGGGAAACCACTCCTTGTTTTACATCCATAACTCCCCTTGACTCCACAATGAGAGGGCAGATACCTAGGGTTGCCAGGCGTCTGGTTTTCGCCCAGACAGTTCGGTATTTTGGCCTCCCGTCCGGTTAAAAAAAAAAAAAACAGAGAATACTTGACACATAAAATGTCCGATATTTTTATGTTTTCCTCAGACAGATGGCCAGTGGTGTCTGCGAGGGTGGGGGGCGCGAGGTAATTTAAAGGCACAGCAACCTCTTTTTTTTCTTTTTTGCTCAACCAATTTTTCCCTGCCTGTTCGGGATTTTTTGTGAAGGTATCTGGCGACCCTATACCTTGGAGTCAGCTCCAGCCTACACTCTCTACCTCCTCTCACAAGCCAGAACCCTGAATGGAAGTCACACAATTTGCCTCTGATCCTCAGTTTTAAAAAAACGCATAAGCCCCAGCGAACAGGCAAAACGACCGGCCTTTCGTGTGGCTTGCTCACGGGAGACTGACACCCGTAAGCTCTGACCGACTCCGAGGGTCTATCAGGCTAGTATGCAGGACGGTACATTTGCTGTACATGGGGAAATGTCTCCAGAAAGGCTGCCAGGAACAGAGCTGGCACGTTAGACATTGTGTCCAAATGGAAACTAACATGGGGAACTTATTACAGGTAAGAATCCTGGCCCTGCCCTCCCCCCGCAGGTGCCCCATGTTAGTCATTTTGTCAGAGGAAACCTACATGAAACCACAAGTGCTCTCAGCATAGAGCGATTTTTTACACCTTATCCTTAGCTTCCAGGGGTCTCGGGACTGCTGGGGAGGCTGCCACCAGCCGCCTCCCCAGCACTGAAATCTGCCTCGTGCTCTCGGCTTAAGCAGTTCCTCTCTCTGGAAGTTTTGCACACTCTCGATGTGTTGTGTAACGGTGTTTTCTAGCTATGCAAATCTGCTTCCCCGTTTCCGACAGGCACTTACACAACACCCAGCACGAGGCAGGGGAAAGACTTATAAAAGCAAGTTCTTAAAAACACAGAGGCGTGAGTCAGAGAAATTGCACCATCTCATTCCCCTGCCATGGCTGACATCGCCAGCTGGGGCGTGTA